GTTTACAACGCATATGCCTTATGTTCGGGGGAAGACGGCAGTGGGGGGCCAGACTCCGGACCTATCCAGGCTTGTATAAATCTGGCTGGTTCAGACCGGATTCAGCGGTCCGGATCTGGCCGGAACCGTGGCTGGTTCACACCGGATTCAGCGGTCCGGATCTGGCCGGAACAGTGGCTAATTCAGACCGGATTCAGCGGTCCGGATCTGGCTGGAACCGTGGCTGGTTCATCCCGGATTCAGCGATCCGGATCTGGCCGGAACCGTGGCTGGTTCAGACCAGATTCAGCGGGCACATAGTGACCGGGAAACTTAAAAACGGTACCCAGACGCACCCTATGATGACGCTCTTCGCGCCCGGGGGGGCGCTAGGCTCTCACCCCGCTCCTGCAGCATGCAAAGTGCGCGCTTTAATTGATAGAGAGAGAAAACTGTATTAAAAAAAGAAAAGAAAAAAAGGATACAGAAGACGGTTTGGCGAACGATAGGCAGAAAGGGAGAGAAGGACAAGAGATGGGGGGAGGGATTTGACAGACTGTCTCATTGGAGTTCGACCAACCGACTCTTCGAGAGGCTGAATCCTGGACAGTATGCAGCTTTCCCTAATGTATGATATCGTGAGTTGTTGCCCACCTTAACCCCAGTTGCAGGTTGGTGCCACACACTCCCCCCCAGAACGGATACCCCGAGGCGGGCACCAACCCTCAGGCACCACCCTCTAGGGTATCTGTGACAAAGATCAAAGCAGATTATCAGCCACCCACATCAGACGGACGTGTCCACACGCTGCAGGTTCACATGCCCTCATAAGCTGGCGAAGCGCCCATGAAACAAGGAAGGTGTGCCACAGCCGAAAAATGCGACCCCAAACACACTGCTGGCATTAGAGGCAGAACATCGCTGCATTGTGATCACTATATCTACTCGATGAGCTGTTGCTGGTTTACACGTGAAAGAATGAAAAGAATAAATTACTAACAGATTCACAGTCTCTCTCTGACTCTCTTCGTCTCTCTTTCTCGATATGAATCCTCGCCCTCTCTCTCAATATGGCCTCAGTATGGCCCTCTCCCTCTATGAGTATCCCTCTCTCTCTCTCCGTGGCTCTGTCTTTGTGGATCTTTGGATATTACTTTCCCTGTCTCAAGACAACTCACTCTCTCTCTCTCTCTCTCAATATAGGTCTCCATTCCTCCCTCTCCCTCTGTCTCAGTATGACTCCCCCTCCACTTCCCTCTCTCCCTCCCTCTCTCTCTCTACCTCTATCAACCTCTCTCTCTCCCTCTCCCTTCCTCTACCTCTAACCGCCTCTCTCTCTCTCTCCCTTTCTCTCTCTTTCTCTCTCTCTCTCTCTCTCTCTCTCTCTCTTTCACTCTCTCTTTCTCTCTCTTTCTCTCTCTTTCTCTCTCTTTCTCTCTCTCTCTCTCCGAGTATGATGCTCTCTCTCTCTTCTTGGCTTTCACTCTTTCTCATCTCTCGCTCTCGATATGACTCGCTCTCC